CCAGTTCACTCTTCTCTTTGAAAAGTAAAAGAAAAATTCTTTCATTATTTTACAATCCCTCCCCCCAGGTCCACTCCACTGTGCAGCCTTCGTTCTGGACTCCTGTCATGACAATACCTAATCATATATCCCTTTTAAACAGTTCCTTCCCTTATCTGTTTCAATGCAGCATATATCATTTATCCCATCTTTCTCAGTCTCCCTCCAACCTGGTGTCACTCTTGTTTTACAGCAGTGGCACTATACAGTATTTGTCCTTTTGTGACTGAGATATTTCACTCAGCATAATGTCCTCCAGGATCACCCATTTTATATAATAGTTCATGAGTTCCTTGTTTCGCAATGCAGCAGTTTTCCATTGTGTGACTATACCATGGTTTCTCTATCCATTCGTTTGTTGATGGGAACTTGGGTTGTTTCCAACTCTTTGCTATTGTGAATAAAGCCACGATAAGCATGAGTGTGCAAATGCTATATTCTTACAGCAAGCACACATCTCAGCATTTTTGTAGGCAAAAATAGCCCACAGGCCATAACAATTACCATTATTGTGTGGATTCCATAGCCTTCTGACCTCTGCTTGAGCTTTAAATATGAACAGACTATTCCAGCATCAAAAATAAAATGGGGACGAGGTATGTATGTGTTGCCCCCAAAAGGGCAGAAAGCAGAGAGGAAACTCATTCTTGCTGGATGTTAGGTTAGCAGAGGTCTCCAGCACAGACTTTGATTGTGATCAGACAGTTAGTGTTAAGGAGATATTTGTTCTTTTTCCCCCGATGTAAAAATCTAACCACATTTTGCTGAGGAATTTTTTCCATTTCTTTTTTATTTACTTAAAAAAAAAATCAATTCCTGGCTTGGTGCCCTGGTTCATTACTGAGCAAGAACAAAAAATGTCAAAAAGTTTCCATTATACCCATTAATTAGTATTGTGTGAAGGAGTATATGAACACAGATGTGTGCCTCTTTCTGCCTCCTTCCTTGGGACTGACCCCAGTTCCCTCTTCACACTACTGAATAAATCCTAGAGATATATGTACCCTTTTTCCTGGCTCTCTTACCCTTTGGAATTTCACCCCCAGGTGGAAGTGAAGGCAGTCCTGGATCACCTTATGAAGCTCTTCAGGAGCAGCTCTCTCTCTGGCCAGGATTTGCAGGCCGTGGCTGGTGAGAACAGAGAGATGGACCCCAGGCCACCTGCATGTCAGCAGCTCATCAGGCGCCTCCTCCTCAGCTTTGTGCTCTGGGCTCCTGGAGGCCATACCATTGCCAGGGCAGCCATCACCTTTGTAAGTTTGCCCTTCTCTTTCATTCTCATTTCCATTTGACCTCCAGATAAAAGGTGTTGTCCAACCTGTATGGGCCCCTGAGCATGTGTGTACATCCATACTAGAGAATACCGCCTCAGAGAAAGCCCATACCACACAGTTTGCTTCCAGGCCCGCAGTGAAAGCTAGGTTCTAGGTTCCCTTCTATTTATGTTCTTCTCTGATTATAGTGCTCCCTCCTCTCCATAAGAAAGCAGTGGGATTCCCATAAGAATGTGCCCATGAAGCATCCACAGTGCTCACCAATGTGCAAACCAGGCTGTGTTATCACATGAAGCCCAGAGAACAAGGCAGAACAGTCCACTTCAAAGAGGAGCACCAGTATGCTGACTCTGCACAGTTTTAATTTTTGGTGTTTATTGACAAATGTATACAGCTAAATTGTCAGCAATCCGATGCAGTGTTCGAAGTCCAGAAATATTTTCTTTCCCTTCTCAGGTGACTCCACTTTAATGTAAGTGTGATTGTGAACAAAGTCTCCGGGACAAATGAGCCCCTGTGCAGGGAAGCATCACACAGGAGGTCCTCTCACACTGACAAGAATGGTGGTATGAGCAGGTTCAGCCATGGGCCTCCCAGCCAGCCAGGCACTGAGCAGACTCTCCTGCCATGCACTGGGCACTAGCTCCACAAGAACACCTATCTCTGATCTATACACTTATCAAATGTGCAATCATTTGCAAGCCTGTTTAGAGTATAAGAATGCCATAGACCAGAGGTACAAATATCCATAGAAATTTATATCAGTCAGCTTTATCTCTGGTAAGTTATAATATCTGCTGTCAGCTAGTAGTGGTTATAGATAAATGTGGCCTTCCTTTTTTCCACTTCACTCATGTTCTTATTTAGAAATAAAGATATTACCTAGAGAGTTGTGGGTAAGGCTAAGAGGTCAGCAGGACTGCTAAGGTCACTTAAACCCTCTCCTGCACCAGCCCCTTCTCCCTCGGTGCCCCGGCCACACAGATGGCCACTGTTACCCTGAGGCCTTGGCCCAAACTGCCAGGTGGAGGACTAACCTTCATAATTTGAGTGGGCTAACATCCAAACCTAAGCCTGGGGTTTAGTGTAAGGGTGTAAGACCAGGAATTGGCTGGGGATGGATGAGACCCTGCTCCCAACCTGTAAAAGAAAGGTGGAGAAAAGATAGTTTAAAAAAGACATATGTAAGAAATACCAGTCTTGCATCTGAAGAAGGCTTTGCTTGAACCTAGGGAGGAAGGAGCAGTATCCAAAGCAAATAAAGGGAACTAGTGGGATTCTCATACAAGCCTATTGGTGTCTCTTCCTCCAAAAGGCTTCACTTCTTTGGATTATGGCCAAATTTTGTCTTTAGACCTAACCAATTTGTTGCCACATGATTTGTTGTTTCTTTGTGTAGGGAGTGGAGGATATGCAGAACTGAAGTTCTATCTTAGCCAGTATTGCAAACAATATGTTTCTCAGTGAGTATTTTGGGCAGGATGCAGTGGGGGGAAAAAACCACACTGTTAGTCAATGGAGAAAAGATAGATGTTGTTATTTATTTTATTATACTTGGATCCACCATCAGCCCCCATGGAGGCCATAGTAGAGAAATCAAACAATGTTTTCATCAGACAGATCTGCAGCTGATCACTTTGTTAAAGTGCTATAGAGTAAGGCTAAGTGCGAGCAATTTTCATCAAGGACAATATGCACCTCACTACCAAGGTTTCGTCCCTGGTCCACTCCAAAGAGAAAGCAGAGGGCAACTAGGATTCTCCCAGGCTGGGGAGACTCAGGGGACAACTCTCTCTCACCTTCTAGACAGAGGAACCCTTCACTTGACTTCCTTTTTTGACCTCTCAGCCTTCTCGGGCCTGAAGAATTGAAAGAGAAGGGGTCATCAACACAATGTTCTGGTGGGAGAGGAAGGAGCACAGCAGTGGGTGCCAGCTGAGGTAGCCTGGGCCTCTTCATGCCAGGAGTGAACTCAGTGATTAGTGGCCTTACATCTCTTCCCTCTTAGGGAGTATGCAAAGTGAAAGACTGTACAAGGCCAAAGAATATGACTAAAAACTTCCTCTATTCCATGTTCAAAAAAGGCTACTCAGAAAACACAGGAGGCACTCTTAGGGAACTCAGAAGAGCAAGTTATCTGCCTGTGAGGGCAGGTCCAGCCAGGGTCACGTCCTGCCTTGTGTAGGGTGCCTCTGGGCAGGAATACAAGGTGATGACAGACCTCAGCCCCATGAAGCCTTGAGCAGAGCCTGCAGCAGGCAGACAAAATACTTACCAGTACTGCCTACAAGCCATGCACTGCTGCCCTGGCCAAGTCCAGAGGGTTCTGGGTTACCAGGCCTCACTTCCCGGTACTGCCCACCTCTCCTACCTGAACTGGGACAGGAATTTGTGGACACAGACAGAAAGATATGGAGAGGAATTCTGAGCAAGTGACTGAACTACTATGGCTGATGAAGTGTTATACTGAGGCTTTGTGAAGTTTATCTTGCAATATGACTTTCCTAGCCATTGTTTGACTTTACTATATAGATGAGCGGGACTATGTGAATGGGGTGCCTTAGCCTATCTACAAGGGGATTTTGGCTATTTTTGCCACTGAATTGAGCCAGCCAGCATCAAGAGACAGATCTTCTGATGCCATTGAACAAGAAGCAAGATAATGTAGTACACCCTTCTTACTCCAGACTACTCCTACAGCAGCAGCACCTATGGCTGAACTGGAGACTGATATGTGATGGGACTTAGGCTGGGGCAGTGAGAGCCAATGTTGGCAGGACTGAGAACTTTGTTGGACACCCGTGGGTTTTGTTTTTAGATGCCAATAAAACTTATTTGTTTGATTTTTTAAAAAAGCCAATATTGATGGGACTGAAACTTGGGGAATACTTGCCTGAAGCCTGCATGCACTTATCAGGAACTGTCTTGACTATTCTGTTACTAATCTGTATTTTAGCCTTTTTCACTTCCCCAATATGGTTCTGTGTTGTCTGTGAGCTATATCACATCATATTTTGGACCAGAAGTGCAGTGCGATTGGTGTTGAGTAAAAAGAGGTATGGTAGCATGGTGGACATGTCTGACCTCTTGTTAATTGGGTTTGTGTTATTGATGCTGGGGATGGAGATAGTTCCCCTCTGTGAAGTTGGTAAAGGACAGATATGCCCATCCCCACAAGGCCCTTGCTCTTTATTACAGGCTTCTATGTCAGCTAGCCACAAAAAAAGCAAATATGTGCACTACTTTTTAAAAATACGGTTAGTTGCAAGATGTTGTTGTTATGTGCCGTCGAGTTGTTTCCGACTCATAGCGACCCTATGCACAACAGCCCTAAACCCTGCTCTATCCTGCGCCAACCGCACCGC